ATGTATATAATTTTATTTATGTATAATAAAATTAATAAAAAATAATTATAAAAAATAAAAATAAAATTAACTCATAAATTAACCCGTAACCCATTAAAATCAAATTAAAATTAGATGTTTTCAACCCACGACCCATTCATAACTCAACCCGTCATCCATGTTGATTCGATTTGAACCTAATACAATCCATCCGTTTGTCAGGTTTACTCCCACCCCCTATCGTCTGACGCGTTTTCTTCATTTTCAACCATTAATTAAGCGATGAAATTTTCAAAAAAAAAAACAAAAAAAAAACCATTAAGCGATGAAGTCTTCGGCTTCTTATCCGCTAATGTTGACAAAGGACTCGTACTACGTTCACATGATGTAATTATCTGGTTAAAACTCAAAAGAGTTATGGATTTATTAGTAAAAAAAATTTATTTTTATTTTGTTAGTTAAATTTGAATTTTTTTTAAAAAAATTAATAAAAAATAATTTTTTTATAAATTTTTTAATTTAATTATAAATAACCCGTCTTAACTATTACTAATTTTATGCGTTTTTGAAGGAGGTAGGTAAGCTTCCTTTATTTTTATTTCAATACGCGTTTGCCAAGACTACAACCAGTGAAATATTAAACTTTGTCTTACAAAATACTATTTCTTTTACATTCAAGAATTTATATGATGTTGTATATTCTTCAAGAATTTATTAACCCTTTCAATTTTTGTAAACAATTCCAAGACAATCAATCAAAAAGATTCTTTTTGTAAGTGTTATGAACAGCCGCACCTTAATTTCCCTTGAAATCGAACCAACTTTGTAAAACCTTTGAAAGCAAACAAGTTTTATAAAATAACACGTTGATTTTATATAATAAATAAATAAATATTAAATATTTTTATTTAAATAAAAATATTTAATAAAAATTATATATAATATTAATTATTTATTTATTATATAAAATTATTTAATTAATACTTATATAAAAATTAAATGTAAACATCAAATTTAAAAAAAATACATTAAATATATTCTAAACCTACACTCACACACCTCATAGATAAAAAAACTATAAACAAATTTTGCGTAGACTAGCTATCAGCATATTATCAAATTTAATTTTGCCAGTAAGTTTTTGTTTTGTTTTTGTTTTTGTTTTTTCGTTTTTTTTCTCATTGGTTTAGTAGGTCCATGCTTGCATTTCCACAGAAAAGATCACAAATTTCTGATTTGACCTTTCTAGAGATGAGAGCTTAATGGTCCACTACACAGGTATCAAATTTAATTTTGCCAGTAAGTTTTTGGTTTGTTTTTTTGTTTTTTTTTTTTCTCATTGGTTTAGTAGATCCATGTTTGCATTTTTCCTTTAGATTGACTCTAAGTTATAAGTGCTTAAATTAGGTGATTAAAGTTTTGAATTCTACCATCATCGTAAATTTCATCAAATGCGATTCAATAATCACTTGCCTCATTTAAAGAGATAAAATATTTATCTGATACATAAATCGAATCTCTAATTATTAATAATTAATTTAAACTAATTTTCTACCCATTACATTGTAAAAAAAAATTTACATTTCCACAGAAAGGGTCACAAATTTTTGATTTGACCTTTCTAGAGATGAGAGCTTAACGGTCCACTACACAGGTATCTACCTTTTATAAACAACCAGATCAATTTTTTTTTATTTTTTTTGTTGAATCCCACCAAACATCTTGATGATTGCACGTCTTATTAAAGTTGATAGATTATTCATCTGATCTGAGAATCGAATCCACAGTTATTAATAGTTAATAATATTAATCTATTAATCATTGTTTTTATAAAAAAAAAAGATCAATTTGTTTTTTTTACAGTATAGAGAATAAAATTTTAGGAAAATTTGAAAATAAAAATCTATTACAAGGTTAGATATTAACACGTAAACAAGCGGTAAGATGCTAATTAACCAAGGCTATATATTATGCAGCATGTGCTATTAATTTATTAATTTAATTGTAAAATATTAGTAATACTATTGTGAATATAACCTCACACTAAATATAAGTATACATTATCATCAAACAAATA